CTGCTGAACACCCTTAGTACACATTTTCCTTTGGTCGTTATCTTTCAAACATTTTGATTCATATTCTTCTTTTTTATTTTATTCTCTCTCTTTTTTTTGGCGCTTTCCAATCCTATTTTGTGTGCAATACATATTTCTCAAAATGCCAATTCAGATAACATTTTAATTGTCACTGGTCAACTAAATAACATTTTATTATTCAGATAAAGACAAGCCAATTCGGTATACGCAAAATGCCTAGTGACAACATACTTTATTAAATTAAGCATTATTGTTAATAAATATCTTAACTTTTATTAAATTAGAAAAAAATGACCCTCTTTCAAAAATGATGGATTATTGATTTAGTTATTTGGTGCTCAATCATTAATTAATCGATATCGATTAATTTTTAATGTGATCACGAATCTTCTTTTGGTCAATTATTGATTGGCTTGATGATATAAATCGCTTGACCAGTTCATCAACCCTTTTTAATGGTTGCCGAAAAAAGAGTTATGATATTACAAAGAGATTGCTCAAACCGGCTGTCTCACCCAAAAAACGATAATTTATATATATATATATATATATATAACGATGCATGTCTTTTTTAAAATCTAGTTTAATTAAATGTCCATAATTTATTAAGTTTAGAAATAAATATTTAATGAATTTTATAAATTCTTGATTCATTTCTCAATAAACTATTAATTGATCTCTATAAATCATTAAGTAATTAATGATTAGTTTACTACCGTAATTTGTATAATGCAAATTATTATTCACATAATTAGTAATTCCTAAATTAAAAAACGATTTTTTTAATCTAACGAAACTAGAGAATGTACAACTAAAAGTATGTTCTAACGAAATCCTAGCTTTTTATATTCGAGTTTGAACGCGTGCTTAAATGCGACCAAGGATAGCTCATCAAACAACTTGATTAATTAGCAATTTATCAGTTTTCTTGGCAAAATGAGCTTCAACGATGATGGGAAAATTGTCATACTCGAAGATGTCTATGCAGGTTTATGTTTTAATCGTTTTTTCATTAACATAACCACTTTCTGCGACCAAAAGTTTTTTTTTGTCGCAGAAGGTTAGTTTTCTTGTAGTGACCGTCAGCCGCGGAGAGAGAGAGAGGAGATGACAAAATGAAAGGATGGAAAACAAAGGTAAAAGGTTCAACCAATCTTAAAACATTTACTTTTTAATTGTATTTTATAAGTTGGTGACGACGACTTCCCAATATTATAGCATATTGGTAAACTTTTATCAAATACCGCAATATATAGAATATTTTTTAGATGAAAAATACTGCAATATATATTATATTTGGAGAGTAAAATCAGCCAAATTGTCTTCTTTGGAACATTGGCATAGAATTTATATTATCATATATTATTGAACATGTTGATCTTACATACTACAAAACAGTTGTTCTGTAGTGACCCAGAAAATCCCAGAATTTAAATAATGTAAATTATGTATTTAAGTTAAGGATTTTCCTGGAAAAAAAAATTATATTATGTATATTTTGTGATTGAAGAATTTATGGAATTAACATTTGTATTCCTAAATTCTGTAACAGATTTCACGTTAAGTTCACGTTTTTCCGATCAAGTAAATTCGATCGATAAATTCTCACTGTACTTTAAAACGGAAGAATTTCCAGTACAGATACAGTATGAGAATCTTAATTTCAAGAATCTCTAAGCACAGTACGAACTAGCATCTAGTACACATACTGAAGAAAATAGGTGTCAGTATAATTTTTGACAGTTTTAATAAGTAACTTAAGGGAGTGGATAAAACTACAAGGGGTAGGTTAGTGTGTGTGATTTGATGATGTGTGATGAGAGAGATGAATAGGACTCATGACTAGTTTCTCCCCCTTTTCTCTTCACTTGGCCGGCCATACTTAGGGAATTATAGCCAAAAATTTTGGTTCAATGTTGAGTGTGCTAGAGGATTGATGTGATAGTAGTGGTTGAAAGGAAATCATGATATTTTCTTCCTTCCCTCTTTCTCTCACATTGGCCGGCCATCTTCAAGGGGTTTTAAGCAAAATTTTGTTTAGTTAAGTAGACTAAAGGATGTAATAATCTAGTGGTCTATAAATAGAACCAATGTGATCTAAGCCTAA